AATGAACAAAAATAAGCATGCAAAATAAAAACAAATTCAAATTAACTACAAAAAAACTTGCAAAATAAAAAATTAATTTGAATAAAATGAATTTAATGAATTCTACTAGATAGAGCATGCAAGATAAAGAACTATTTTAACCACGGGGTCATCTTTGTCTTCTCCAGCGTCGATCTGAAACAGATACGGTGGCAAATAGATTAATAAAGAGCCATTAAAATTAATTATATCAAGTATTCTCACCTTAATTAATTGTAGAACGTCAAATTCCAAAGTTTACAGGTGTGAAAAGCAAACCAACTCCAGGAGGGACAGCGTAGCAGAGAACTTGTTATTTCAGTGGAATTTAAATATCCAGTTGCTCTCACTCATGGGTTGAAAATTAACTGCATGATGCTACAAGGTGAAGAAGAAACAGCAAATCAAAAACATAATCCAGGAAAGACCACACCCATGTAGACATTGGCTGTTTCAGTGTAACCAAACTGAACATTAATTCTCTCTCATTTATTGGATAACCTGCAGAAAAACATATTAATTACACTTATAAATGAAAACACACAAATAAAAACCCATCAAAAAGAAAGTAAAATTAGTTGAATTATAAAATGGCAAGCGTTATTTCCACGCCATTTTACATCACAACCATAGATCACGACATAGATAAATGTCAAATAACACGACGTCAATTTACGATGCAGACAATAGAAAAAGATTAAAAAGAACCTCCATAGACAGATCACTAATAAATGTCAATTTATTCTGTGGGAAACAAAAACTGTCAAGAGCTTTAGATGCACAATAACCTCAATTTATACTGTTGACAATAGATAATTGTTTACAGAAATTCAATAACAGAATAACAAAGAATAATTAATATTAATGAAGTCATGTATTCTTACCTTAATTAATTGTAGAAAGTAACGTTTTAAAGTCTACCAGCGTGATGAGGAAACCAAACCTAGGAGGGATACAACTGCAGGCAGTTTGTTGTTTCAGATGCTTCCAAATTACCTTCCGATTGCCTCCCATTGTTAAAGCAAACATTAACTGCATAATGTTGCAAGGTGAAGACGACGAATTTATCGATTGTTCCAGTAATTAACTCTAATTCCTTCTCCTTTGTTGGATAATCTATAGAAACGGGCAAGAAAAAGTAATTAATTACCACTTTTAAAGAAAGTAAATCAGTAATATTTTCATCTGGCGATATGATGGTAAAGTTGCAAGTTAACTTTCACATTGATAGAAAGGTCAGTTCCACAACAATTCTCCTTTTTCTATTTCTGAAAAGTTGTCTATTGAAGCAAGTTACAAATGTCTAAGAAATCAAGTTTCTGGAACCTCGTTAACTAATTTTAATTGATACAGTTACATACCACTTCATTGTCACAAATCTCTCCTTCAGCAACACACTTGTTCAGCACATTGTCTCTGTTCCCAATGGAAAAAGGCACTTGCATGCTTTCTTAATGATCATAGAAACAGTTACTTTTTGGAACCAATGAGAACTGACACAATCAATGCTCCACAATTTAATGGCATCTGCAGTTCTTCTAACATCCCTGTAAAATCAAATATTATGAAAAAGTATTCAAATATAATAAATTTATCAAACAAATACACTACGTACACAAGGTAGTCCATTAAAGCGCGTCTTGCTCTCTGGCGGTCTTGCTGTTGAAATTGGAAGAAATGTTTCCAATAAAAAATGTTCCTGGTCAAATGATCCATCTGCGGAAAATAATTTCAGAGATGGCGGACTTCCGGATATACCGGAAGTATACATCAGCTGCCTTGTTGTAAATGGAACACCCTGTATATTATTACATTTTTTAAAATAAGCATCGATTTTAATGTCCAGTTTGTTAAGCACAGTTTTTGCCTGCGGGGTATTTTTTTTTAAGTTATTTACTGATTTCCAGAAAATTTGATAATTGTAGATATGAAAATGAACGGTTTACAACAACAATGGTACATAGTACAGAATAAATAACAAATCGCAGTTATTTTGAAAACCATCAAGCGTAAACCTGAATATGACCTAATAAAAATTTAAACAAAATTTAATTTTGCATCCGACGATGTCAAAATGAACATAGCTTCCCATATGAAAAAATGAGTTATTGATGTTTGAAACATTTAGAATTTGAACATTACTACTGTAATAATTTAATGTGCTTTGAAGGAAATTTTTAGATTTTAGCGTCATCGAGAATAATTGCCGAGTATTAACATTTTTGTAAGGTACTACAAACGTCAAATTTTCTAGAAATGATTAAATAACTCCAAAAAGATACCGCGCAGGCAAAAACCATTTAAAATAAGACAATTGATGTATACTTCCGGTATAGCCGGAAGTCCGCCAACTCTGAAATTATTTTCCGCACATGGATCATTTGACCAGGGACATTTTTTATTGGAAATATTTTCTTCCAACGGCAAGAGCGCTAGAGTGCAAGGCGCGCTTAGAGGACTACCCTGTATAAATTTATGAATGGGTACACTATTTCACCTGAGTTCCTAGCAAAGATTAATTTTCATGTTCCTTCTAAAATATTGCTTAATAACTCAGAAGATTTTTTACCATTAATATTAAATATTAACTTAGATAAAAAATGATTTAAATATAGAGTCTAAAAGTTTGCGAATGAACAGCTTCTCTGGCTAGATATTAATTTTATGACTATATCTAAATTTAAGAAATGTGTAAAGGAAAAGATTTTGAATTATATGACGTAAATGAATTAATGTAAATACAAATTGTACGTTACTTGTTTCGAAGCATCCAATGATCTATATAGAAATTCAAAAAAATGCTAAAACTAAACGTGTTTGTTTGTTGTGGCAATTTAAGTTAAGGTTTGTTTGTATTGTGAGCACACTTTTAAATACATACACCTAGTACATTAATAACAAATGATGACAAATATCTCAAATTTTCTCGAATTCTTTGTGGCAAAGTTGATTGCTTATTTCAACTATAATTTAAGATCAGGCACAGAAAAAATTTTTTTTAGTATATGTGGTATTTTGTATATACAAAAATACATACACATATTTATATTTGATATCAACATACAGCGTAGTTTATTCCCGGAACTTCAACCAACGTAACGATCTGCTATGTGACGTCACCAAAGGTACGGTTTTCCCTTTTCATTACCTGCTCCAACTACCTGCACCATCCGCTACAACCGTTCTTGTACATAACTACGCTCTTCTATCTTTCTACTTAAAAACTTGTTTCATTTACTATAATCAATTGGCTTTACTCTATTTTTTTTCTTTTCTACTATTTTTTTACCCTTATGCGGTTGTAGTTTC